TTGGAGCACCAGACTTCATGCAGACCCCGATATCGAGGACATTCGTGACTACACTGCGTCCCAAAAGTATACAGCCACCCATAAATCTCACAATATCCCTCCTACACGACGTTTTCAAAAAAAGCCTCTAGGTATAAAATGTGGTAATTACCAGTACCAATTTGCATGCCAACTCCGAGAACTGACTTTCCACAGCAACTTCAACTTTCTTTATTTTTTGAAAATTTCTCACTATGACAATGTCCCACAAGTATACAGCCACCGCATATTTTCCCATTGCGTCTCATTTTTTTCGGGTAAACTTTCTCATCATCTCTACCTTTGACCTTTTCCAGGTTATGGCGAGAGGGCTTTCACTGTCTGACTTCGAAAAGGGGCAGATTATCGCAAAGAAGGCTCAAGGACTGTCGAATGCGTCAAATTCGCCAGGAGAGTTGGCGCCGCCAGTCATTATGTTATCGATCAAGCATTTGTCAGGATCGCCAGGAGTATGGAATTCCAGAAGAGTTCCTGCGCGTCCTCCTTTGCTGCGTTCCCTGACACTCGAGGAATGAAGTCTATCCTGAAAGAAGCGTCCAACTCCACGATGTCATGCAGGGAAATAAAGTCATCGCTGAATCTCAATGTCTCGAAAAATACTGTTTGGCGTGTCTTGAAGAAGTCAGAGTTCATCATCAGAGAGAAAATGAGGAAGGCACCGTTCCTGACAGACCGCCATCGCGAAAACCGACTCGCCTTTGCTAGAAGATGCTGCCGAACCGACTTGCGACGCAAGTTCCGGCTTCTCGTGCCTGCAGTGGCCCCCCTGCTTGTCTTTTCAGTTTTTTTTTCTCCAGGTCGTGTTTTCCGATGAGAAGAAGTTCAACTGCGACGGCCCAGATGGAAATAGATTCTACTGGCACGATCTCAGGAAAGATAAGCTCAATTTTTCGAGGCGGAACTTCAGAGGGGGTGGTGTCATGGTCTGGGCTGCGATCGCATCAACGGGACGTTTGAAGCTGTGCTTCGTATCGAAGAAAATGAACTCTTCTGACTACGTAGAGGTAATGCGACGAGGTCTGTTACCTTTCTGGCGAAGGATACGGCATGAAAGTCCTGTATTCGTGCAAGACAATGCACCAATCCATGTCAGCCGGAGCACTCAAGCGTGGTTCAGCCGTCATCAGATCACTCTTTTGCCCTGGCCAGCGAATAGCCCAGACCTAAACCCTATCGAGAATGTTTGGGGCTTCATGGTACGCAGGATATACGCGCACAATGCGCGATTCGAAAATGTCCGTGAGCTCAAGGAGGCTATCATTGATGCATGGCACCATGTCGACAAAACACTTATAGACCACCTCTATTCGAGCATGGACAACCGCATTTTCGAACTTATTCGAAAGAATGGGGCTGCAATAGATTATTGAAACGACGATTTATTAAATTTGTTGTACACTTGTTGTTTTCTGAATCGATTCGTTTAGTGGCTGTATACTTGTGGGACATTGTCATAGTGAGAAATTTTCAAAAAATAAAGAAAGTTGATGTTCTGATGGAAAGTGCCGTTTCTCGGACTTGGCATGCAAAGTCTCGGTACTGGTAATTACCACATAGGTGGCAAACCTTTATAACCTAGAGCGCTTTTTTTGAAAACGTGCCTGTTAGGGAGGATATTATGACAGATTTATGGTGGCGCTACTTTTGGGACGCCAGTCTATTTTCGGTTCTGAATTGCTTGTTGTCACCATCTATCATCTCGAACCATCGTCATTTGCCCACACTCACGCAACCCCCACCAGCGCGGTGAATTACGATTCTCTTGTCACATGCCCACGATCTTTGGCTCACAACTACCACATAATCTGGAATCAGAGTGCAAATGGGTGCTTCACGAAGTACGGCCCCTAACATCCTTCCAGCTGGGAAGTGGGACCAGCCTATCAACATCAAATACAGCATAGTTGCAATGCCATCGGCCGGAGCGGGGAATGGGAAACAACGAAAGTCAATAATGAAAAAAGTTTCTACAGTCAATATCCCATCCCGTCCTCTCAATAAGAATCTCTCAACGATTATATGCCATGTCTAGGAGATGACAGCATGCTCCCAGCCACCGTAGCCAATTTGGTCCAGTAAAAAAACAGTTATGGAAGTTATGAAATCGCAAAATTTGTTCACACCTCGTATACCCTGAAGAAGAAGGCCGTCATAGAGCTTTGTGCACCACCGAAGTACACCAGGATTACAATACATGCGAGAGCAGAGCAAATAATGAGTCCAAGAATAAGCACTAATCTGAAAAACATTTATTACCATCTTCCAGTCAAAATAGATTAATTTCACTATGGGGATAAGGCAGCGTTCAGACTTCGCGACGGCAGCGCTCAGTCGCGCATTCGACGCGATCGATGCGCATGCTTTCTACTGCATCGATCGCGTCGAACGCGCGATCCAAGCGCTGCCGTCGCAAAGTGTGAACGCTGCCTAAGCAGTGGACAGAACATCCCCGTGAGTTGCACCAGTCTCCTGCGGTTTGTTAGTTGGCAGCTGCGTTGCCCGTTAAGTGTTTTTATGCCTGAGTGTGGGTCATAAAAACCCTG